CTGCTCACACAGTTTAAGTCATTGACTATCTAGAGTAATACACCAGACAGGTGGAGCCCCTCACACCATCCAGATGGCACAGCTAGCAATTTCAGCAAGAACTGATTACCAGTGTAATAAAACAGGTGACTGGAAGGTACAGCATCACTAAACAATGTCAATATTAAAAGAGAAATCGACACTTAAGAAGGGAGGGTTTAAGTTACTAGCCTTCCTGGAAGAAGTGCTTTAGGAAGAATGTAATTGACGAAAGGGAAGATTACAGAAAGCAAAAGGAAAGTGTAGCAAGAAGGAACTATGGCAGAAGATATGGGAAAAAGAAAAAGATGAAAAGGGATTTGGTAAAGAAAAGTTAAAATCGCAAGGGTAAAATGTTCCCATTTAGATGGAAAAGTATTTTTTGACTATTTTAAGAATTCACCCTGAGGAATACATGTGGGAGAAAATGCAAGAAGTAGGAAACAGTGGAATTGAGAGGTACGGCAGTACAGGAATAAAATGTTCAATCGAGTAGGAGCGTAGCAACCGTGCCATAAAATACTGCTACCAGCCTGAACTTGGAGATGATGATGGTGGCCTTAAAATTTGCAGTGATTTTTCTTTTTAAATGTGTAAAAGTTAATGGCTGAATCCCTTTCAGAATCCCTTTCAGAAACTGCATTGAAAAAAAGTCAATAAATATCAGTGGCATACTTGATCTTCAGTATAGGGCCAGGTATGCTACAGCACGCCGAGCGTTCCTTTCCCAGACAAAGTAGGGGGCGGGAGGTGGGAGCTTTTCATATAACAATAGACCTCTTGGTTGGCACTTTTCTTACCTGCTTTAGACATCTAGAAAGTAGACATCTCTATCTTGTCAAGGCTCTCTAGAGTCCCTTTATTGTCAGTAGGAACAAGCAGACAGGCAAATTGACTTATTTTAGACATCCTCTTTAAAGGGAGATGCATTGCTCCCTAAAAGGCTAGCCTGGGATAGCTCCGTGTTTGTTGTACAGTTCTTCCACGCCTGGTGTTCTGTTCTGCAGCCAGAAGAGGGGTTCCTCTCACAGTGAGTCACATTTTCAAGGCAGCGATGTGATGGTGCCTCATGTCAGGTTGCTAATTCTCTTAATATCACCAGTGAACTATAAATAACCTTTCATTTTCCAAAAATACTTGTAGCTGTGAAACCAAGACTGAGCTTTTGAGTTGTGATTTTTCACTGATGAAAAAATGAGGAAACATATCTTTTGATTAGTATAGGTCTAATATATGCATTTCTAAATGAAAATCATATGAATTAGATTTGAAGGAACCATGTAAGTTCTTAGTGTGTATCAGATTTAAAACAGATAGGAGATCTCACAACTTCTCTGTCTGCTAATTATAATTTGTGAACTCAGTATGGCAGCTGCTTTTATATGAAAAATATACATGCGAAAGGAGGTAAGTCTCTCCAAAAGAAGAGCCTCTGCATGCTATCACAACCAGAGATTAGCTGGAAAGTAAAGTCTTTGTTAACCTGAAATCATACAGGATCTGATTCATGTACACAGACAGACAGACGGACAGACAAACAGACAGACAGACAGACAGACAGACAGACACACACACACACACACACACATATTAGAGAGACATCTTGTTAATAGAAATATCTTTGAAGTGGACTTAAATTAGCTTATATAACTGGCCCTTTAGGTTACAAACATAGTGTCAAAGGGCCTTTAAGTAAAGGTGTGTATGTATAACAAATAAACCAGTTAATTTAATAATAAAATAAAACTTAATCGCAAAAGTTCACTTTTTAGAAGTTGTTTACACTTTAAAATTTTTCACTAAAAAGTGACCCAAACCTATTTCATCACATAGATAGAACAGAATATGTGGAATTATTCAATAACACGCCATCAAATACTTCTACATTTCATTTATTAAAAGGTAGGAAGCATATGGCTTAGCGTCAGGAAAAGAAATAAACTAGTTGCAAACATTATGAGGATATACATTTAAACTGAATTAATGTGTTAATGTATATTTTTATTACTTCTCTTTGGACTAGAGTTATGCACTTTGTATGGTTCTGCATGTTAAATCCAGCAGAAATCCAATATCCTGTTAGTTAAATGGATCAGTTGCCTGCTTCTCATAGGGCTTATGCAACATATTACATGGTTTGCTTTGAATAGCTTCAGATTTGCTAATGAAGGTTGTGGAATGGGATCTACCGGTCTTTTGCTATAGTTTTTATTTTATTATATTAGAACTATAATCAATCATTATTTAATAGTTATATATAGTTAATTAATTAATTATCTCCTGGCTTTCAGTACAATACACTTAACAGACAACACTAAAGTAAGTTAAACATCCATATTCACATAGACTAGATAACTTCCTAAATACCAGCAACTGGATGAGAAGAAGAAAAAACAAAGGTTACAGAAGAAAATCAGAAGGTCATATCATACGGTATTGAGAATAATAGATTATCCTGAGATGTAGTCAAATAGGAGGTAACCTTTTCTGAGAGTTGCACCTCTGCAAACTCAGATCCACTGGGCATGCAGACCATCCCTCTGCCGTGAATTGTATCGTATAGGTAATGGAAGATTACTAGTCAAAGGACTAACAGTAGCAAGAAACAAAAAAAAATCCTGATTACATAGAAATCTAAAGCCCTTTATGACCCAAATGCGTAGACAGAATTATGTCCATTAACAATCTTGCAGATTCCATAGTGAGGAATTGCTCTATTTAAATTTAACTATAGAAATTTCTGAATCATTGTACTTAATTCCGTTGAAAATGTGAACCCAATCACATGCAAAATGTTATTTCAGTTTTGAAGTGTGAAATTCCAAATCAAATGTATGTCTCCAAAAGAATGTAATAGTTCTCATTCATGTGCCTTAACTTTACATGCGCACACACAGATTTAGACTAAGTCATAGCAAAGTGTGGAAAGGGCTGTCCAGCCTGACTGGATGACTCTAAGGAGAGTCAAATATGCTTGAACCCCTGGCGAGCAAGTACACTTGCATCTTGCTGCTGTAGCTTCCCTGGCATGCAGAGCAAGGATAAGTAAGTAGAAGCAGATTGAAAATGACTAGAAGGCTTAGGGGAAGGGAGATATAAATCTGAGTACCAAAAATGTTTAAGTCCTGCTTTATACACACACACCCATGCACGCACATTTAAATACAAATATGTGGCCAGTTGTGTAATTTAAAGGCTTTATTGAGTAATAGGATGGAATTAAAATAGTGTTGAATTATTGCTGAATAAGAGGAAACCTTCCTGATCAGCATATGCTGTAAGTTGTTCAAAAGTCTAATAGGTAAAGTGCTGAATATCCTGTTGACCTGTCTGGACTGTACAGTCTGTCACTGCATGGAGATGTCCTAAATAATCTAAACGGTTTTTATCTTTTCTTGTGTCTGTGATTCTACCAGAGCACAGCAGGGGATAAAATAAACGTGAGAACTCATGTGGGGACAGCAAAGAACAAAAGATGCCTCACAGAGGTTAATTCATGCAATACTGAGGTAATTGCTGCTAGCTTGTGAACGGATATATGGAACTGAATGGATGCTAATGGCCTTGAGAACAGAGGTTTACAAATGAACACTATTTCAGATTTTTAACAAAAGAAACCTTGTATTGAAATATCAGTGTCACATTTTAAAACGCTGAAGACCTTAGATTTCATATCCAGGTTTAGGCAGATATATAAAACACGCTCTATTCAAGGTATAATTGCAGTACATATTACCACTTCTCAAGGTTTAGTCAGCAGGACTGTAGTTACAATGAGCACTTCCCACTCTCACTTCATTTGCCCACTGAATATATTTTTATCTTATTACAGAGTAGTATTCCTACAGTAAACTGTACTGCCAAATTTTGGCAAAGGCCAAAGATAAAACGTTCTGAAATTCTCCATGAGGTTAATTGAGTAAAGGGTGCTTTCCTGAAGCACTGAAGAAACCTGACAGCCTGTTTTTAAAGAGAAGGGAGATGTTTTTGGTAAAATGACTTTTGCTCTTAGTGCAGTTTGGTGAAAAACATGTACATGTTTTGTTCTTCATATTTTTTTTACACCCATACATCTGTGCCTATTTTAACAGAATATAACTCACCTCAGCAAATTATTTGAATATCTGGGTAAATACCACAGAGACTTATATTTTCAAATGTAAATGCAGTTCGTAGCGTTTTCACATCCTTTAGTCATGGTAAATTGCATCTAATTTTTGAGAAATTAGCAGATGTGTTGCTGCAGACTGCAAGCAGCCATAACAGTATACCTTGCCAGTGGCTAAATTCAATACTTAGAAGCGCTTTTATATGCAGGAAAGTCACTGTCACACAAATGCCAGCCCACCTCAACTTACTTTCTAGGGAATATTTTCAAAGCTTGCATTCAGGACCAGAATTCTTACTGAGAGTCAGTTAAATGTGTCTTTTTCACTTCTGCAAATGCTTTTGGAATTTCACCTTTAATTGAACTAGGCAAAAGTAGCCATATTCCTCATAATTGATTTCTCAGATAGATAACATAAAAATAACACAGTCTCATTTGCTGTGG